GGTGTGTGTGAGTGTGGCCAGCTCAGCCCACCAGGGGGCGGGGCTGGCTGGCATGTGGTGCTGGGGGATTGAACCGCTGTCCCTGATGCTTTTGCTGAGCTTGTTTTAAGTAGGTGCTTTAGACCACTGAGCCATCTCTCCAGCCCATGTACTTTTTAATCTTTGCTTGAGACACAGTCTACTTTCTACTGGAATGTTTCTGTACCTTTGTCTGAAATCAACTGTATATTTATATGGAGGAAGACGCTTAGACTCCCTACTCTGTCACATTGGTCAATTTTGTTTTTACATTAATACTGTACTGTTTTGATTACTGAAACTTTATAATAATTCATCAAATTAAATAACCATAACTTTGCAACTTTATTCTTTTTCAAAGATGTTGTTCGGCTATCCTGCTTTTTTCTTTGCATTTCCTTATGAATTTCAGAATGATATTGATAACTTACAAAAACCGTCAGTTGTATTTCTTTGAGGGGGCGGATCAATTTGGCTAGAATTTCCATCTTAACAGTGGTGCACCCTCTGACCCAGGGACAACACTATCTTTTATTTCTTTAACTTCTGTAAGCATGCTTTTTAGCATGTAGTTTTTCACGTATTTTTTAAATGAAATGTATCTCTAAACTTTTAAAGTATTTTGAATGTTATTATAAATGGATTATTATTCTTAATTCTATTTCTGATCATTTGATTTTACTTCAATTATAGAAGTGTAGTAAGTTGGTATGGTAATCTTATATCTTCCCACTCTGAAAAAAAAAAATCACCTTAGTTTTAGGATGTTTTCTTTTCCCCTCTCCTCTCTCATTTCTTGCACATTTCTCTAGGTTCTTGTCTGTCTGTCCATCTTTCTTTTTCTTGCTTTTTTTCTCATAGATGGTCATGTCACCTTGAATAGTTTCAAGACATCTTTTCCAACTTGAATATCCTTATTTTTTTGTCTGACAGCACTGGCTAGCATACGCACCATAGTTTCGGGCTGATGTGGTTAAAGTGGACATCTTTCAATTTTTCCTTTCCTCAGGAAGGAACTTTTCTTCGTTAAATTAATCATAATTTGTTGAAGGTTGGGGGAGTTCTTGCTATTCTTAGTTTACTGAGAATTTTAAATAAAATATAGCTGCATGTGTACATCTTCATTGCCATATATGTACGTACAGTATCTGCATTACTATTTGACATTTAAATTGCACCTACTGCATGTAAATCTATGTCAGTTTTTGATAGAAACCAGTATCATTTACAATAGTTGTAATATAGCATTGATAATCAAATAAAATCAAAGAAATACCAACGAATTCTAGGTAATCACTTCACTTATGGAGGGTCTCTTCGTATATTAAGAATTGTAGGCTAGCATGGTTACACATGTCTGTAATCTTACACTCTGGGAGGCTGAAGCAGGAAGATCAATAGTCTGAGCCCTTCCTATTTAACAAGACCTTGTCGAGAGGGTGGGGGAAGAATGAAAAACTCATCTTTCTCATGTGGAGGATGTGAGTTCCAGATTTTATGCAAGTATGGCTGAGGCAAAGATAGAGGAATGGAAAAATGTTTGAGTGGGTAGTTTCCACAGCAGTTAGAATTCCTGGAGTGGTAGAGTGTTTGTTCTAAACTTTGACTGCATGTAATCATCACCTCGAGAGTTTAAGACTCAGACCAAAAGAGGGTACTTGGACCAGGCTATCGATGGCCTTCGAAAGTTCTGTAAGTATTTCCATTGGTTAGGGAGGATGGTAAACTTCTGCGGGGGTGGTGGTGGTGTTTGGAACACCAGGCAGGACGAATTTCAGATTGATTAGCAATGTCTGCCCTGTGTGTTTTGAGACTATTAAATATGATGACTAATTGACACTGTAAAGCCTGAATACAAATTGTCTGTCAAGAAGGCTGGGTATTATCTTGAAGAGCTGACAAAATGCAGATTCTCCCTTTCATTAAGGAAGAAAAACCCATGAATTTTCTGCCTTAAATGTTCTTTTAGCTCAAAATTAATATGATGCTTTCTTACCGTTAAAGTCATGAAGCAGATATTTCAAGAATGCATTTTAATAGGGTAAAGAATCATCCAAATGTCCTTACCCAATACCATGACATAGAAATGTGAAGTATTCGTGAAATGTTAACTCAGTTGCTTCCTGTAATAGTTACTAAGATTCACAATGACTCTAGGCGGCCAGTATCTCAAAACACAACATTACGCATAATCTAAAATTGCATGTGCAAATACATAGGATGCAAGGGAAAAACATGAATGGGAATCACTGCCCTATTTAGCCACTTTTTTGGTGCCCTCCTAAGACCCATTTAGAACAACGTATTTTTCCAGTAACAGTTTTGCAATCTTTCAGCCTGTCTTTCTCACTAATTTGGACCACATTGCCGTCACTGAATACTATGGGAAAAAAATAGAAAAAAAAAAAAAAAAAAAAAAAAAAAAGACTCAGAATCCAATCTTCCAAGTTATGAGTAGGGAGAGGAGAAAGGAGCACTTCAAATCCTAGAAGGGCAGTAATAGGAAGGAGGTGAGGAAGCTGTTTGATAAAACTACGCACTGAAGAACTCTAGGGAAAGAAGTGCGAGAAGCGCTTCTCTCGGGGAGCGGCGCTCGCAGCCCCGCCAGGGCGTCCCCGGCCTCCCGGCGCCCCGCATCCGCGCCCTCCCTAACCCCGTCGGCTCCGCCCGGCCAGCCGCGTGGGCGGGGTCGCGGC